GACTTATGGCTAATCCGTAGTATCGAGTTATTTTTTATCAGTACATCGGTCAACATTCTACGTCCTCCGAGCTTCTTATCTTTTTTTACATTTCGAAGTCTTGTGCCCATTCATTTTTCGACATGCTCAACGCATTCACTTTTTTTTACAGGACGGTCATTGCCGTACGGATTCAAGTCTAAGATAGCTTTGAAAGTTTTTGAGTTGCCATCGCCTATATAATTTACGTACTGAACGCCGTACTTTTCTTCTGATCTGGAAAACATTTCTTTTATGGAATCGACTTCCATTTTCCCTGATGAACCGGAATGATTTAGTAGGCATTCTTCTTCGTCTTTTTCGTACCACTCAGTATATTCATCAGTACCTTCTTTTGATTTCCATGACGTGCAAACCTTACATATTGAACTTTTAATAACAAGATCGATTACTTTTCCGGTAAAATTACCAATTAGAGTTATAACACCTAACAGCGATGCAAAACCTCTTTTCTTCCACGATCCATCTTCAGACACATAAAATTTTGATTTTGGTCTTTCATTTTCTTCATTTAATATTTTTTCTTCATTAACTGCTTTCAGACATGTAGCATCAAAGACAAACTTTACTGCATCATACAGGTGTTTCACAATTTTCTCGTACGCACTGTTACTCAAACCTGTACCGAGATCCATAAGTCCAGCAAAAATATTGATGCCTTCTTGTCCGATGCCTAAAAGTCTCATAACAAAAACTATTCTTCTGTTAATTTCATAACCGGTATTTATAAGAGGTCCAGAATCAATCTGTGTAGAGCCACAAGAACACAACACAACTATCTTAAAACCGAAACCACGAATTCCCGATTCTCTAAATTCGACATTTTTAAGCACTTTCGACATATAAGCAGTTGGGCGAGCATTTAAAAACGCTTAGAAATTCTATAATTTTATACGCATGAGCTCTATTCACTTCTGCGTCAAAAACATTAGCACTGCTTAGTTTTTTACTCGAAGCACTCGTGTTACTAATTTCCTTTTCTTCGGCTTCTTTTTCTTGATTTTTACACCAAGGAGATTTCCTTTTTCGAGGCCTCGCTGAACGTCTGGACTGCCCGTGTATTGCTTTCGGATACGAAGTCATGCTGCATTCAGTAACGTATTCACTCGACAAGAGACGAAAGCGAACTGATCGTAAGTCAAAAAAAGTTTGAAAGAGAAGACAGTTGAAATTTCAAACAACGGACTTTCTGGATGCAGGTATAAACACGCGCCGAGAACGCAAGTATAAACGCGACCGCCCGAGGGTCGCTAGGCCCGTCTGAACTCGTCACCCGACCCGCTTTAACTAACTTCGTAAATACTGCAGATATCGACTTGAAATTTTCAGGGAATATTCTTGAATAGTTTAACAATCGATTAAGACTATTTCCAAAAAAACGGTTTTTTGTCCCGATAAAGGAAGTTTCCCCCTTAACTGCTAACAATAGGTCTGTTTTTGTTTCTGCACTGTGTTGTACCTTTCGGTGCAACAAGATATTAATTTGGGATTCGATCCGCTCAAAGGGTTGAAACCCATGAGGAAAACGAGGAAAGTGGTCAAGGTCGTAGAACAAACACTCACTGCACCACACTTTTATTAAAATAACCCCTTTTATTTATTATAACAATTATAATTTCGAGTGATGATTACCACTGATTACATTTATTCAAGTATTCGTAACCCTTTATTTAACTATTTTAATTACCCGATTAATTGATTACACTTTGATTGTTAATTGATTAAGTTACAATTCGAATAGTTGGTTATAATTATCGAATTGATTTAATTAAAGAATATATTCGGGTTAAAGTCCTCGCTCGTGACTTAGACCGGTCGGCGACACTCGTTATCGCGGATGTAATATGACTCGGTTCTCGCGACACGCGTAACGTATCGTTACGTTTAGATGTATGACAAGACTCTCTCGCCGGTCCTTAGACCGCCGAATATATAGGCGTCGCGGAGTCATCGAAATAGCGGCATTCGTGCCGTGTGCAACGCGGACTTCGTCCTCTTGCATTTCGGCAGTTCGTTGTTCTGTCGAAATGCAAGATTTGCTTTTTATTAATAATTGTTCGATGTGCGTGCGGTCATTGCTTGCGGTCGATCAGTGATCGTTGTCCGCACGCGTTATGGAATTTGCAGCCTTGCATTTCCGCAAGTCGTTGCTATGCCGAAATGCAAAGGTTGCTTTGCAGTAATAATCTTGCATTTCCGCCAGCTCGTTGTTAGGCTGAAATGCGAGACTTAATTGTGGTAGCACTCACGGGCTACAACAACTGTCTGAACTAGTACACACGGTGCAATAAGTTGAAATGAAACAATTATACAAATTTGTATATTGTATATTGTGCAGGAACAAAAAACAGACCCAATGAGTAGAATCGACATTTTCCTCGTTGCAGAAAATGTGCGTGATTCGTCGAGTTAACTGACCTGTCTATTAGCAGTACATTATCGCCGACCCTCTTATGGCAATAACCCCACACCGGTATAGCGTTGAAGGTGATATTAATAGCAGAATACTGAATAGGCACGTTCACCATGCCTTTAACACCCTTTCCGTTCACCTGCGTCATGAATTCGCCCTGGAAATCCGCAGGAAAATAACAGCCCACCATGAACTGAAGGTCGTAACCTTGAAAAACCTCGCTCGTGATTACGGTATTGTCTGAAAGAAAAAAAATGAGTCTCTATTAATACTAGTTCCGTCAACTGTTGAAATTCCGTGAAAGAAGCAATACATTTGCGAGAAAGTTTTTGGTAATTATTTACTTTAGGGGACCCAGCTCCGATGACCTTGACCTCGACATATGTTGTCAAGGTCATGATTCTGAGCAACTTTGCTTTAACAATTAGGTGGCGGACTCTTATAGTTTTTGAGATATTCAGACCCAATAGTCTGGACTATTGTATACTATCAATAGTTAATACTATGCGTGTTCAATAGTTCAAACTATTCTTTTTAACAGTAGGTTCCGCTTCCCCTGCGAGGGGGCTCCACTACTGTTAAAAATAACCTAACCTAACCCATTTAGTGGTGTATAGTGGCTGTCGTTTCGGGTAGGAATTCGAAATCCATGCACAATAGTACAGACATGTGACCTTCTATGCGAACATACTTCTATGGTTGTAGTATTGCACATGAATTTCGACTTTCTACGCGAAGCGACAGCTATTACACACCACTAATGGGTTAAATTAGGTTATTTTTAACAATAGTGCAGCCCCCCCGCAGTGGGGCGAAACCTACAGTATTCACGCATACACTTTACAACATAAAACGACATGGAAGTTGCGAGCTCATTCGCAGAAGAAGAGGTGGAAAAAGAGTTGCTTCGCATGAATACAGTAGATTTTACTACTGTTAAAAAATAACTTAATATCTGAAAAATTATAACAAACTGCCACCTAGTTGTTAAGGTAAAGTTGCTCAGAATCATGACCTTGACAACATATGTCAAGGTCAAGGTCATCGGAGCTGGGTCCCCTAAAGTAAATAATTACTAATTTTTTTAATTTATTATTTTTAATTTATTAATTCTCACATATTGTTATATTTATTTTTAAAAATAAATCTTAAGAAAGTTAATTCTATCGTTTATCACATAACTTATTATAAACCAGAATTTTAATCGATCTTTTATTGAATTCATTATACATCTATTACAGAACAATGCTTTGAGTTCTATAGATAAATTGTCTACAAAGGCATACTTATTGAAGTAAATTATTATGAAGAGGATGGAAAATCAACTGACTGAATTGTAACGAAGAGTGAGGACGACCTTAACCGGTAGCATAACGGGTTCTTCGATTAATGTTTATATCATGTATGACTTTCAAACCAAAAATACAAATTTATAACGAATTTCGTATAAATACTTGTGTAAATAAAAACTTAATCGTCTGTGACTACAGCTGTTTGCGGTTTAGTCAACACACTAGCAATAATTGTTTCAATCATTCTAGCGGCAAATTGGCCCTAGATTGTGTCATGCGTATTTAAACATCAATAGAGAGATAAATGAAAATTTAAATGCTACATTTACAATCGCACTTTCGATTATTGCTAATATTAATATTCGATAATATTTGTTTTTCGAGCACACATATACAGATAAAAAGTTGCGTTTCAGTAAATATGATTATATCAAAATGTGTTCACATAAAATAAAAGAAACTCTAAAAGATATTAAATGTTAAATCACGACACTGCCTGTAATCGTGGATAATTAAACGCGTTAAATTTATTTCCTAATTTAGATTTATGTATTGAGAGAGAGAGAAAGATATTTGGCAATTATGCGTTTTGATGGTGCAAAGAGTCGTGGCACGCATAACAAATAACTTCGTGCTTGTCACTCGCATATCATGCATTCAGGAGCCTGTGAAAAATCATTAATGTTACCACTAATTGTAAGCGATTCCGAGAGACCATGTAACGTCGTATACGGGGAAGATCACTCCACGTATCAATTTTTCATAATGATTTTATTTTTCTGAATACAGTTTATTATAGGAGGACTCGGCCTCGATACACCTTAACGAAAAGAGAACTCGGTCTCGACTTGTTCACACGGCAAGAGATCTCGGTCTTCTAGTGTCGATGCGAAACCGCACGATGCGTATTATAATCTAAAAGAGTCCTTCGAGTCGGCTGTGTTTTCTATGGAAAGTTCATTGGTACGTCGCGTACCAATCACAGCCGCCGTCGCAGGCGAGCTGAACAGACGCTTTTTTGTCGTTGGGCAAATAGACAAGGGACGCACGAGGCGTCTGCCTGTCACCCCTTAGCTCCGCTTCGGCGGAGCTAAGTATGTATATATGCGTGTATACGGCACGCGTGGTGGGCCCACCGTAAGCACTTAACATATTCCCCCTGTTGAGAGGGTAACGATCAATTACATTTATCTGATTGCCTGCTTACATCGACAGGACTATTCGCAGTTCGTGTTACAATATTTGTCATTATAATACTATTGTTCGATCGGAAGTGGACTTAGACACTTCACTGAACGCTTCATTACTCCAGTGCGAGTTTTGATGGTCACGGTTCGTGGGATTCCGTCTTCGCCGGGATGAGTTTCTAGAACCTTGCCCAGTGCCCATTGCAGACAAGGAAGGCCCTTGTCCTTGACGAGCACGACCATTCCAGTAGTGATGTTTTCTCCATCCTTGATCCATTTATGTCGGACTTGTAGCTCATTGAGGTATTCTAAGCTCCATCGTGCCCAGAAATCTTGTCGTACCTTTCTGATATGTTGCCAGGCTGATAGGCGGTTTGCTGGGACAGATGAGAGATCGAGCTCAGGTAGATTATTCAATGGTTTACCGATCAAGAAATGCGCAGGTGTAAGGGCTAAGAGATCATTAGGATCTGAGGACAAATAGGAAATAGGGCGCGAATTTAATATTCCTTCGATTTCTACGACAAAAGTATTAAATTCTTCAAACGTGAATAAAAGATCACCAACCACGCGTTTAAAATGGTGTTTGAATATTTTTACGGTGGATTCCCATAGTCCACCGAAATGTGGAGCAATGGGAGGTATAAAATGCCACGTGACGCGGTGTTCCAACGAAAATTGATTAATTTTATTTTTATGTTCTTCAGAATTGAAGAGGCTGTATAATTCCTTCAACCTATTGTTGGCTCCGACAAAATTGGTTCCGTTATCGGAGTGAATATGTGTTGGAACGCCGCGTCTTGATACAAAACGTCGTAAGGCGGCTAAGAATCCGTCGGTGGTGAGATCGCTCACCACTTCCAAATGCACAGTCTTTACTACCATACATATGAAGACACATACATACACTTTAATTTGATTTCGATTTCTATATTTTTTCTCTTTGACGTAAAAAGGTCCGCAAAAATCTATTCCGGTATTCGTGAAGGGAAACTCGCCGCGTACTCGGTTTTTTGGCAAGTCACCCATTTTATAATTGACAGTATCCGCGTTAAACCGAAAACATCGTATACATGATCGTACGATCTTGCGCACCTGATTACGTCCGTCAAGCAGCCAAAACTTCTGCCGAATCATATACAACGTCGTTTGAATGCCGGTGTGAAAATGTTTTTCATGCGTTTCTCTAATAATGAGATCAGTGAGAAAATGTCGACTCGGAATCAAAATTGGATGTTTCTGTGCGTGAGCTAATTTCGACTCCTTTAACCGTCCGCCGACACGGATCAAGCCATTTTCGTCGAGGAATGGATTCAACGCAGCTATATTGGTTTTATTTACCGACCGTCCATGTGTTAATTCCTTCGCTTCACACGAAAAGCTATGAGATTGGATAATCTTTATTATTCTGATTTCTGTTTCATCTAACTCTTTTATACATAATGGTCCACGATAAATATTTTTCGGACGAAAACGCAGGCACGACGCCATGATTCGCAGCAATCTCGAATACGACGAATATCGTTGAAAAATACTATAGTCGGGAACGTTGGTCGTCAAACAAACGTTTTTTCTTAATTCCGGCAACTCGTTCAAGTCTATGCAGTTATTAGGCCATTCGCTTTCAGATTTCATTAACCATGACGGTCCTGAGAACCATGACAGATTATTTAAAAAATCTTTCGGTAATTGACCTCTCGACAGCGCGTCGGCCGGATTATCCTTTGTACTAACATGTCGCCAAAACAATGGCTGTGTGATTTCTTGTATCTGCGCTACTCTATGAGAAACATAGGGTTTTAAAAGATGAGGCGAAGTCTTCAGCCAATGTAATACTATAGTCGAATCGCTCCACATGAATACCTTGCTGAAGTTTAATTTTATCATGCTACGGGCCTCGTTATACAATTTGGATAAAAGAAGTGCACCGCACAACTCGAGACGGGGCGTTGTTACGGTTTTTAGCGGCGCGACCCGCGACTTAGCGCATAAAAGATGACAATGCGTGTTATCTCCATCATTCGAACGAAGATATAAACAAGCACCGTAGCCTGTATTGCTCGCGTCGCAAAATCCGTGAATCTGAACGTCAATATAGTTAGGGATTAATATCTGACGATGGATAGATAACTGGTTAATCAAGTTTAATTGTGCCGCGAATTCGACCCAAGCGCAATGCATGCTAGCGGGAATAGATTCATCCCAATCTACCTTACATCGCCATAAGTCTTGCATTAGTTTTTTTGCATACAGGATGACTGGACCTAAAATGCCTAGGGGATCGAATATCCTAGCAATTTCTGACATGACGATTCGTTTCGTGATTTTTCCGCTGCGATCAATAGAACGGACCGCGTAGTGTAGCATGTCAGCGCGCGCAGACCACGATATACCTAACGTTTTTAAAGCGTTTGTCTTGTCGAGTACAAGATTGGCATTCATGGCATCGGGACTTAAATCTTCGATAATACGTTTCTCGTTTGAGGCCCATTGTCGGATGTTGAAGCCGCCACGAGACAATAGTATGATTATCTCGTTTCGCAACGAGCGAGCTTCTTCGACAGTCTCCGCGCCGGTTAATAAATCGTCAACGTAAAGATGATTTTTAAGAACTTCCGCAGCATTAGGAAACTCGTCATGCTCGTCATCGGCGAGTCTTTGAATCGTGCGTATCGCGAGGTAAGGCGATGAAGATACCCCGAACGTAAGTGTGTTAAGTTGGAAAGTTTTAATTTGACCGTCTTGACGCCAAAGTATACGCTGGTATATTCGATCGTCTTGATGAACCAACACTTGCCGGTACATTTTCTCTATATCGGCGGATAACACGTATTTATATATACGAAAACGGAGTAAATGCGCAAACAACGGATCTTGTATAGTGGGTCCTACCATCAACATGTTATTTAGAGATAAACCATTGCTTGCTTTAGCGGACGCATCGAATACTACGCGAACTTTGGTCGTATTACTCGAATTTTTAATCACCGCGTGATGCGGCATATAAAACCCGTCGTCAAATGGTTCGTCGATTAGGGACATGTGTTTCATGTCTAAATACTCTTGTATTACTTGTGAATAAGCCGTTTTCAGATACGAATCGGAAGCGAGTTTACGTTCGAGAGAATATAAGCGTTTGAGAGCAGCAGTACGCGATTCACCGAGTCGTTCGTCACCTTTACGGAAAGGTAATCGTACCATGTATCGTCCGTCGTTACAACGAATGACATTATCTGTAAAATGTGTTTCGCAATCGATTTCTTCGACGGATCTTGGCATGTTATTTGCTATTTCTTCAATCGTCCAAAAATTAGCGATTTGTTGTTCTAAGTTGATCAATGCGCACGTGGTGGTTTTTAACCGACTCTGTGAAGCGCCCCCCCCTGCGACAATCCAACCAAATCTCGTTTTCTGCAAATATAGATCAAAACCGTCTCGCGATAAATTAATTTGACCTATCGAAAATAAGGACAATGTTGGCCCGGAGCCGATTAGTATATCCACGGGACGCGGCACGTGAAACTCTGGATCGGCTAATATTATGTTAGATGGTATTTTAAGAGTTTCTCGAGGGAAAATTTCTGACGGAACCAAATCTGATATTGTTGGAATTAATAAACACGTTAATTCCTTAGAGAATTCGCTATGTAATGATCGGACGATAATTCGAATGACGCCCTTAGACGTTGTACTCATAGAATTGATTGCGCCGATCGGCATTGTACACGCGCTTATCGGGATTCTTAAACGTTTCGCAAGACCTTCAGAAACGAAACTCGCGGTAGCGCATGTATCCATCAACGCGCGGCACTTAATCCAATTCGATTCACGATTCTGCACGAATACCGTCGCCGTGGTCATCAACTGCGGCGCGTATGATGGAGAGATTGCCGCGAGACACATGGTGCTATTGTCGACTTCCCGTTCTAGTCATGAAGTCTTATCCGTTTTCGAATCTGCTGCGTCGATTTTCGTCGTGACGGACGGATATTTGTCAAGATGTAGAAGCGTATTGTGTCGCTTCTGACAAATCGTGCAGTTCGCATAATTGCAAGGTTTGCCCTTATGCGAACGCAAGCAGTTATAACAAAGCCTGGCGTTTCTTACGATTTCAATGCGCTTAGAAGCATCCAACTGTTTGAATTTATCGCATTTATATAACGGATGTTGCTTGTTTTTACATGCTATGCAACTGTTCGCCGTATTGATTGCAAAGGCTTTGTTAGATGTACGTGGTTTTTTAACTGAGGATGAACTCTTGTCGTCGAGTCTAGATGCTTCTGGGCGAACACGCTTAGACACGCGAACCGCGGATCGATATAGAAATTCATAAAGCTCGTCGATTTTCGGAAACTCGTCGCGTCCAAGCGTTTCTTCCCACTTATCGGCGGTATTCTTCGGTAATTTTCTTTCGAGTATATTAACGAGCATCTCCGATCCTATGCTAACTCCCATCGCGGCCAAGGAAGCGACATGTTGTTGCGCGTCGTCGGCGAGCTTGGATAAGCCCTCAGTAGTTTCCTTTTCTAATATTGGCAAATTATTTATCAATGAGAGATGGCGCGAGATAATAATACGCTTCACCTCATACGCACGTTTTAATAATTCCCAAGCTCTGGAATAGTTCGCGCTCTCGATCGACAATATTTTAATTTTGTTAGCTGCTTCACCGGTTACTGCTGATTGCAAATATTGCAACTTTTCGACGTCCGACAAATCCGTGCGCGAGTCTATCATTGCGATGAAGGCATTCTTAAATGACAACCACTTCTCATATGATCCGTCGAAATTTGGCAACGATACTTTAGGTAATTTCATTTTGTGATTCACGACTGTAGAGGCTGTATCAACGGGAGAAGGCGCATCGATACCCATGCTTGTATTTGCGACGGACTGTATGGAATCTGTTAAAGTTCTGACTCTGATAAGGAGTGAATAAAACCTATCTTGGACATTCGCGAATTCGTCTTTATGATTTTCGTTCGAATCTAGCGTCAACAATTCGTCATTGTAATCTTCGTATGCATGGAAAAGCTCGGTGACGCGATCCATGCGCGCCTTCAACGCGGCCTTGTCATGATGACCATGTCGATCTTTTTCGAGTAAGTTCGTTAGGTTGGTGATTTGTGACTTTAAAGAAGTCCGCTTCTGAATAAGAAGTTTGATTCTATCGGTCATGATGTCGATATGAAGTAGAAAAGGATAAAGGAAATGCGCGATCGGTAAATTGTTAACCTTGAATAATGTACTCGCCGTTAGCTCGAATCCAGCTGGTTGACCTGCCCGGTTCGAATTGTGAATCCAGATCCGTCTGTCTTGCGAAGCCTCGTCTTCACGTAGATGACTGGAATCCAAAGGCTGGCGGAATCTCGATGTTTGAAGCGTCGTCGTCCGCGTTCACCGCGCGAACGACCTCACAGGAGGCACCAAAATGTAACGTCGTATACGGGGAAGATCACTCCACGTATCAATTTTTCATAATGATTTTATTTTTCTGAATACAGTTTATTATAGGAGGACTCGGCCTCGATACACCTTAACGAAAAGAGAACTCGGTCTCGACTTGTTCACACGGCAAGAGATCTCGGTCTTCTAGTGTCGATGCGAAACCGCACGATGCGTATTATAATCTAAAAGAGTCCTTCGAGTCGGCTGTGTTTTCTATGGAAAGTTCATTGGTACGTCGCGTACCAATCACAGCCGCCGTCGCAGGCGAGCTGAACAGACGCTTTTTTGTCGTTGGGCAAATAGACAAGGGACGCACGAGGCGTCTGCCTGTCACCCCTTAGTTCCGCTTCGGCGGAGCTAAGTATGTATATATGCGTGTATACGGCACGCGTGGTGGGCCCACCGTAAGCACTTAACAGACCAGGTGGGGTTAACAACGAATCCGAAAAATAATATCTACTACTACTTACTCCTTTTTATATGTAAAAGGTATATACGAGGAGGTAACCACTATCTGAAATAATGTCCCACAGATTACATGATTTCATTTAATTTTATATAATTTTATTTGATGACAAATAATTTTTCCTCACTATATATGCGGTCAGTTGGTAAAATAAACGATTTTATCTAATATTACACAATTATTTCTTGTAATTGTCAAATTATATATCGAAATTTTATATAAATTTTATAATGATTTCAGGGACTCCGTCCCACGATTACATTAAGTGATTACCTCCTCGGGTATATAAGTTACATTTAATAAGATAGATGCATCAAAGATACAAGATTTATATTTTAAAGTAATTTTTATCATTTTTTCCCAGGGGTGCGTTTCGTATACCGGAGTGTTCATCCAGACGAAGTGTGATGTCACATACCAAGATTGGTTCGTGAAACGGAACGATTCTGGAATGTTTTTGCGTTTGTGCGCATTATACATGCTTACATATTTAGAGTTTTTATATTTTACGTAAATACAGAAATGTAAAACTAATATAAACCTAATATAAACCTAATCTAACCTACAACACACTTCTACATATATTTCATCATCGCGCTTTATTACATTATGTCGTTCTGCGCATGCGAGACGTTTCTCGTCACAGTCTCGAGCACGATGAAAAGTTGTTGTCCGGGCGTTTGAAAATTGTAAAACAGAACGCGGTTATGACGTCACATCTTGATAAACGAAACGGTTTTGGAAAAGTTGTCGTCCGGACGTTCATTCGGAACGCACTCTAGCGAATCTAAGATAAAACAGGGATTAGATACATTTATTTATTTCATCCATAATATTTGAATAATTTAAGTTTTTTTATTTAATTCGAACAACAACCTCATACAGCAACAAATATTTCAAAAAAGTGTTAGAAAGGTTTCAAAACCATTTCAACCTTTCACATGACACAATTTTTTCGATTCTTTCAGTTGAAATATCTCTGAAACCTTTTATATCATTCACATTTGAAACCTTTCAGTTGAAATATCGCTGAAATTTGTCATTTGTAATAACATTGCGAACCTTTCAGTTGAAATATTTCTGAAATATTTTACATGACTCAATTTTGAAAGCCTTTTAGTTGAGATATCTCTGAAACCTTTCACATCTTCATTACTCACAATATGCGCGCGTAAGAGAAAGACAGATTCATTCATGTTTTGCATCTCATTATTGCTTACTTATTATTTGTAAATAACAAGGTAAAATTTTGTTGCCATTACAAAATAAATGTTCTTTTAGTAATTCTAACAAAATAATCTGTCTGGGTAGACAAAATATTTTTATTAAAAGTATATATGGACAATTCGAAACATCTCTGTCAATAAGGTAAGAGTGGAGCAGTACGTTAGGTGAACGACTCGGAACTGGACCGTGGACGAGTCACGAGTTCGAATCCTATCAGGTTTAAAAGTTTTTTCATAGGTATTATTAGTCAGTTCAGCACTTAAGGAAAGGACACAAATGATGGAAAAAGAAATCTAATTAATAAGAACTGCTGTAACTTTTTTCTTTCGTGTGCGTCCGCATGCGTGCGAGCAATATGGCATTCAATTGAGGACATATCTGTCATGCGCATGACACTCACGCGTGCGGATAATCTTGCACTGCTAGAGCATTGTGCGCGCATTTTGTTATCTGGGTTGCTGCAATATTGCATCGCAATATTTCTAGAGGCGGACATTTTACCGTTGCTGCAATGTTGCAGCAACGTTGCAACAACATTTTACAATGTTGGTGCAATGTTGCAACCTTGCAAATAAATATTGCTGCAACATTGCTGCAATATTTCTGTGCTGTATGGGACATGTTTTTAAGCAACAAAAACGTCTATTTATATTACGTTATTAATGTTAATATATACGAATTTTGAAGTTTAGTGTAATATAATAATCCATGATGTCTAGTTATATAATATATGTTGTGACGTGACACGTTGTGTCAGTCACTAGTGACTGCGCTAGCACGGAGATCCTGTGTCCTCTAAGCTCGAAGGGCGAGAGCACAAGCGAGCGTGCCAAAAATTTATATTATTTCTCTTTTCTTTTGTATATTCTTTTATATAAAATATTGAGCAATTTCAGATTTTTAAAGAGCGATTATTAGTCACATTAGAGCGTGAGCGTTGGTTATTTTGAATCTGTGTAATGTTGCCGCCTCATTCACGGAAGGAAGAGAGAAGACGCCGCCGAGAAAGCAAGAAGCCATCGAAGGAGATCCCGATTATCAGGGAGGGCGGTACACGCAGGTCGTATCACTTTTTAAACTTTACTAATTTTGTTAGAATTGGGTGATTGCCGCGCTTTAATTGCAGACGACTCGGAGAGAGGAGTAATAAAGGACCGTCTCAGCACGGCCAGAACATTGGCAGCCGCCTACACCTCTGGGGAGAGCGATAGAAGACCGCCGATCAAGACGGAACGCCCCGGCTAGCTAATTTGGAAAAGCGCGCCGAACACTCAAAGGATACGCAACCCGCAGGACTCACTGTAATTGGTCGCGGGGTTGCGCGGCTACAATAGACCAATTAGAGTAAAGAGCGGCCCAATAAGAGAGGGGTTGAACGGCCTGCGTGGGTCCGCAAGTGCTCCCGGTTATCACTTGTGCGGTGAGCTATCTGTAAGGAGGACGCAGGATCTCCGAAGCCCAGATAATCGCAGACTGGTCTACCGTTGCCGGAAAAAGCAATAGTCGACAGAGATCCCGTGGGAAGATCGACGAGGGATCATTACGTGGTGAGGCGAGCGTTATCTTATAAGTTGTGTAAAGCCAACGATCGCGATACGTGATATGCGTCTCGAGCGGAGCACACGTTAGGCGTTACTCCGATTTTTCGTTGCCGATATCGGATCGGTCGCCTGTAGGCGTTTCGAGTTAGCGTTGCCGTGAATACGTGCCTTCCGCTCAGACGCTCTAATTTGAGAATGTATAATAGTGTAGTTGCTCGCCCTCGTTGCCGCCAAGTCACTTGTATAATTGTTACTTATTGAGATTTCTTTAAAGTCGAGGCTGGCGTTATTGCGCATTAAAGAACCGTTGCCGTCTAATTTAAACTCATATGATGTACTTGTTCACGAAATAATTTATTGTCGACATAATAAGATCTAGATTTGATCACCAAAATTTTGCTCGGCGAATTATTGCCGAATTTACTCCATGTCGTCGACGGCCAACTGATAGTCAGTTTATTGTTATTGCGCCGCATACCAGAGCGCGGAAGGTCAACGCTATAACGTACTTTCTTTCGAACACTTTTGTACAGTCTCGATCAAATATATCGACTTCTCTACTTGTTATTATTACTTATTGTGCATTTATTTCAGCCTCTCTATCGTTCTCCGACAATTTTCCCGCTTACCGCGAACCACTCCCCTCTGCCAATTCCGTTGGCTGAGCTAGTTGTTTAGTTCCGTCGCGAGAATCCGCGTAATCTATAATTTCTTTGTCCGAGCAATTTATCTAACATTTGTGCGAAGAGTGGCACGCTCTCTCGTGCCTGGCGCCCAACGAATTTTTGATAGCGACTAAGATCCTTGCTGAGCGAGATAACTCGTTAACTTTTGCAAAATCTCGAATCACGCGAGAATTATTAACGGACCGCACTATTGCTCCAGTAAGTATTGTTCATCTGAAATAAGAGCTTTCGCATCCTTAGATTTATTTTGGAGAACGCGACGAAGTTGTGCCGACACTTAAAAGTACGGTCACAATGTATATTTGATTCCAGTAGTGGAAGCCAGGACGAAAGCCAAAGTTACATGATATTCTTCGCAATATATTAGAATAATTAAAAAAAAAAGATTATATGGAGATTATTGACTGATTGCCCTATTTCTCTATATATCAGTTTTAAAAACTTTATTGAGCCTTCTTTCTAACAATTTAATTTACGCTGGCTAAATAGATGCGTTTTCACAATTTTCTTTGAGGGGACTTTTCAGATTATTACAGTTGTGTTTCAAGACCAACGATTGTTCGGTGCGCAATTGGGACTACATATATTGATTAATAGGATGTTATTCTTAATTTAAATAAATATTGCGAAGAATATGTAATAATATATGTAAATATGAAACCGGAATTTTTTAATAGAAAATACACATTTATTGCATGAAAATAATAAAAAATATTTTATTCGAAGTATTGCCCATTGCTAACTATACATTTTTCACCTGTTTGACAATTTGCAGATGCCACGCCAAAAAAATTGTTGCTCTTTTAAGCC